GAGAGGGAAGAGGGTCAGAGGGAGAAGCAGACTCCCTGCTGAGCAGGGACCCCAATGCAGGACTCAATCCCGGGACTCCAGGATCATGACCTGAGCCGAAGGCAGTCGCTTAACCAACTGAGCCACCCAGGCGCCCCGGGGGTCCTTTTTATACCCATTTTGTAGAGGAGGAAACTGAGGCTCAGAGAAGTCTAGTAAATTGCCCAGAGCCACACAGCCAAGAGTGACCTCAGATGCTCCCCATCCAACCATTGCATGGCACTTCTCCAGCATAGGATAATAAAGGCCCTGCCTACACTCTTTGAGGACTTTGAGCCCATTATCACCCTCTCTGGGTCTCTGTTTTTCCTTTAGTAAAATGGAGTTTTGAATCCTTACATGTCCCAGAGGGTTTCCCAGCCCCTCTGAACAGATAGGAAAACTGAAACCCAGAGTTGGGGGGCAAGGGCCCCCTGGTCACCAGGTGAAATCCACATCTTTAGGCCTAGCCTGGGCACTGGCCCCTGCCTGACATTTCCTGGAAGCCAGTCCTGACCCCAACTGGCCCTTGATTGCTCAAGTGACTGCATCACTCAGGTGACCATGGTTCTCTGGAAACGGGAGAAGAAGGAAGCAGAGATAGCTCTCAGTCGGGGACAGTCCTGGGGCTCTGTGGTAAGCACACATACTGGGAACAACCTGGTGGGTATCCTAATAAGACTCACGTGGGTTCCCGTCCTCCAGGGAATTCCCAGAGGTTACAAGAGAAATTAGTAACAAGTGAAGAAGCACCTATCATTTCCAAATGGGAAAGAATGCACCCTTTCAATTGGGGCCGACGCTTGTAGAAACATACAGGCTGCAGATCCCCTCCTGCACAGCCTGACTGTCCCCAGGCCTCCTGTTTCCCTTTGAGGCCCCTGTCCCTCAGGGTCAGGTTTTGGGACACTGGCATCTTTGTTCCAAAACTCAAGGACCCCGGGTGTCAAGTGCTCATTACATACTAGGTGCTCAAACTCAGTCATTTTGGTAGAGTCTTACTCCAGGCCTATAAGGGAGGAATTCTTGCCCCCATTTTGCAGAGGGAAAACTGAGGCCTGGAGAACCAAAATATCTGCCCGTGGCCACACAGCTGGTCAGGGTCAGAGTGGGACTGATGTCCATTCACCCTGCTTCCTCCTCTGAGCTCTTGCTAGCTGCAGGAAACAGTTTTTATAACAACATCTGTAAAATGGGGGGCAATTAAAAGGTTCACTCACAGGGTTATATTTTACAGGTCAGCACTGGGTTATGAGTTTTTTCACTAAGACCCCAGGCAGGGCCCCCTGGGCCCAGGGACAAACATCCACAAGAGCAACATGGTTTATTCCCTGCACTGTGTTACACAGGAATGGGAATGAAGGCCAGGTTGGTAGCCTAGATGCATCAATAGATACAGAACTTGTTCCAGAAAAAAAACTGGGGGAGGCCTACAGGCCCCAGTCTCTCCAGGGACCCTCTCTCCTCAGGCCTCATGGTGGGTAAGAAGTGTAGGAGGCTGGGGAGCCAGAGAGACCAGGACGGGCACAGCCAGGGTGCTGGGTTCTGGGGCTCAGAGGTTGAGTCCCTGGAAGTTTGGCTTTGGTCCTTTCTGGCACACAGTGGATCTGCAAGGAAGCTCAGTGGAGGGAGAGGGGGAGAGAGGTGGGAGGGATGGGTGGGTGAGTGGATGGATGGATGGATGGATGGATGGATGGATGGGTGGCTGGATGGGTGGCTGGATGGATGGATGGATGGATGGGTGGATGGATGGATGGATGGATGGGTGGATGGTTGGATGGATGGGTGGATGGATGGATGGATGGATGGGTGGATGGATGGGTGGATGGATGGATGGATGGATGGAGGGATGGATGGGTGGATATGGATGGATGGGTGGATAGATGGATGAATGGAGGGATGGAGGGATGGATGGTTGGGTGGATGGGTGGATGGATGGGTGGATGGATGGGTGGAGGGATGGATGGAGGGATGGATGATGAGGGGGACTGAGGGATGGGTGTGAGAGGCAGATTATCAGAGCTGGGCTACAGGAAGAGATGGGGGTGTATCTGTCTTTGTGGGCATGTCTGTGTGTCTGCACATGAGTCCGTGTCTGCGTGTGGGTCCCTCTGAGAGTACCTGCAGGTTTGTGTGTCTATGGGTGCCCCAATCTGCTTCTGTGTCCACACCTGATGATGGGTCCGTGTCTGTGAGGTCTGTCTGTGTGCGTCTGCGAGCTGGCTGCATCTGGACATCTGCTGATCCGCGAGTGGCTGTGGATGGGGACCTGTCTCCCTGTGTCTGGCTGTATCAATGTCCTGGCATGTCTTTGTGATTTTAATCTGGTTTTGCATCCATGTCACTGGGTCTCTGTGTCCAGGTTCGTCTTCTATATCTGTTGGAGTGTGTGTGTGTGTCACTGAGTGTCCATGTCCCAATGTCTCTGATTGTGTGTCCGTGTCTGCTCCATCTATATCTGTATTTGAGTGAGAGAGAGAGAGAGAGAGAGAGAAAGAGAGAGAGAATGTGTGTGTGTGTGTTCTTGATCCGGGGTAGACCTGACTACGGATCTGTGTCTGTGGATCCAGGCAAGCTGTGTCCTGGCGCAGCTCTGTGTCTGTACCTGCCTGTGTCTATTTCCGCGCCTCGGTGTCTCTATTACCCAAAGTCTGATTATGTGTCCAGGTGTGTCTGTGGGTCCTGGTCTCCTTGTGTATCCCTGTCCGTTGCGATTCCAGCCCTGATGTCTGTCCGCTCCCGCAGGGGGCGCCCTTGCGCAGCGGCTGCTCCCTCCCTCCCTCGGGTTCCTGCCCCTGGGGACACCCTAACTAGCCAAGAGCAGACAGCGGGCCCAGACTGGGCAAAGGTGGCCCCACCAGGTCCCCGCCTTCCAGCCTGGCCCCGCCCCCTGCCCGCCCAAAGCTGCTATAAGTTCACGGCTCCCTCAGCTTCCGCAGTGCTTGCCTTCAGTGGTCGCACTTGGAGGGTCCAGCCGCCCCGGTCAGAGGAGGAGCCACCGCCACCACCTGACCATGGCCGAGGGTGAGTATCAGGGTCAGCGCTGCCACCACGCAGGCGCCCTGACCCTGGCCATCCCTCCCTGGTCGCAGTGGTCCTGCCTGGGCCATGGGGGAGGGGAGGAAACACCTGGCCAGGGGCTCAGTCCCTAAATCCCCCAGTTTGGGAGCAACACAAAGACTGGGCTGGGTGAGGAGTGCCTGGTTCCCACTCCTGGCCCAGCTTGGGCCCTTACTTTCCCTATCCCCAGGGCATAATCTTTAACCCCTGCCTCCCTGGATCAGATGAGGCAGTGGAACGTGAAAATGTGTGGTAAACTGTAAAGTATTGGACTAGTGGACCATTGTCACTTGTCCTCAGTCAATTAGTGGGGCTGCGTCCCATGAAGCTGTGCAGAGGGGTCTGCCCAGCCTCCGAACACTTAGCTTTGGTTAGTCCCTGCCAGCTGGGAAGAGGCATGCACTTTCTCCTCAGTGGTACCTGGGAGACTGCTTGGCCCCGGGGCCAGAGAAGAGGTTCCAGCACCCTATGGGGATTGGGCTGAGAGCAGACAGGTTCTCTAAGGTCCCTCCAGCCCTCAGGTTCTGCAACTCTGGTCTTTGGCCTCTTGTGCATTCTCAGATCCCCCTCCTGTAGAATGGACAGCACTGAGGCTCTTGGTACATCGGTGAGGGCCAAAAGGAGTAGAGAAGGGGTGTGATTAATTTCTTACCTGCTCCGCCCACTACACACACACACACACACACGCACGCACGGTGGCCACACTTCTGTCCCAGGGGAGGGATTTCTGCGGTGGAGGATGTCAGTGCACTAAGGCCACTGTGTGGCCTGTGTCCCGGGACCTGTGTCCTGGCTAACTCTTGGGTCAAGTCCATTTGGAGATGGCCTCTGCACACTGTAGCCCCCGGAAGGAGGTGCGGGGAGAGGGAATGTGAAGAGGGAGGTGGGGCACATGGAAAAGGGAAGAGAGGGATGAACCGTGGACCTGCCTGACTTGCTGTGTGACCTCGGGCCACCTTTGTCCCTATCTGAGATCTGGCTCCCCAACACATGGGATCGAAAACCAGCTCAGGGCTGGCTGTAATGGGTGACCTAGGTGGCCACTTGTCCGCAATGCATTTTCCCATCCCTGACCCCAAGAGAGGCTCCGTGGGGCTGGGGGGCCCTGGAAGTGCCGGTTGTGATGAGCCACCCGCTTACTACCACAGTGGCCACTTCCTACAGGGGTCCCACTGGCCTGGAAGACCTTGGCTCCTTTCTCAGTGCAGAAATCCTATGATCCTAGAACTCAGTGTTTCTGCACCTTTGGAGCTGGGCGTGATTTCTGGAAATCCTTCTTCAGACAATAACCCAAGAAAGCACCCTACCTGCCCCAGCCCAGGAAGTGACCATCTCTCTAGGGTCTCCCAGGGGGACCATGGGCGGGGCGGGGGGTCTCTTAACTGCTTAAGCTTTCTGGAATAGAAGTTTCCAAAAACAATGTTTCCTCACCCCAGCAGGCCAGCAGGAAGTTCTCCCTGGTGGTGTGGAGGTCTCTCCTGCTCCGAGTGCAGAGGGGGTCAGCTTCCTCAGGCTTCCTGCCACGCTCAGAACAACACAGGGGTGGGAGGGAGGGGAAGGAAGGAAGGAGTGGGGAGATGGCGAACAAACCCTGAGCTGTGAATGAGATGGTTTCCAGCGCAGGCTCCAGACTCCACAGCCCTGGATTCCAATCCCCACACCGCCGCTTGCCGTGGGACCTGGGGCCACAGAATATCTCCCTCTGCACAGTCGAGGTGCTGGTAGTACCCGTGTGGGTGGAGAGGCTGTGAGGTTTAAGTGGAGATAAGCCATGTCAGGGCCCTCCCTCAGCAGTCACTGGGCACTTCGGGATCTTCCACAGCAGAAGGCAGGGGATGTGGGTCGATGTCCCCGTGGAAGGATCCACTTGCTGGGTGACTTTGGGCAAATCCCTGCCCCTGGCCTCAGCTGGACCACATACTCTCCAAGGACCCCGCAATGCGGAGAGTCTGCCTTGCCCACTCTTCCCATGCTACGGTCTTCCTAATCGTGACCTCGAGCTTGCCAAGATTTATGAGGTTTGCGCTTCCCTCAGACCTCCACCCACCCACCACCCCTGCCTCCGCCCTGGTCTTCAGCTCCCTCCGAAACTATAAATAGAAATTTCACATATCAGACTTCTGCCCTGGGCCAGGCCTTGAGGAAAGCGTGCCCAACACCCTGTCCTAGTCCTCACATCAGTCTTTTGAAACTTCAGAGGAGGTCCAGAGAGGGAGAGAGACCTGCCCAGGGTCACACAGCAGCGCAGGGGAACCAAAATGTTAGGTCCAGAAGACTCCAAACCCCCTGTCATTTTAAAAACGATTTTATTATGGAGAATACTGAACGTACATCAAAGTAGAGAGTTTGGTTTTTAAAAAAATCAGGATCCAAATGGGCCGAAATGTCTCTTAAGTTTCTCTTAACCTATAGTTTCTCCCTTCAACGATTTTTTTTCCCTTGCAATTTATTTGTTAAGGAAAGTGGATCCTCTGCCTATTGTTTCCCAGTTTGTTTCTGTCTATTGCGTCCTGGTTCTGTGTTGAACGTGTTCCTCAGTCCTCCGTATTTCCTATAAATCGAAAATTGAAATTGAAAGGCAAAGGGTAGTAAATAACCTACACCAAATACTGCTCCCCACCTCGTTTTTACCTAAAGAACCCTTTAATAAGGACAGAACAGCTCGTGTTGAAGTAAGCAGGTAATGTGCCAGGCACCGTGCTGAGCGGTTCACAACAGTCCTGGGGACAGATGAGGAAAGCAACACCTGGAAAGAGGAATTGCCTGAAGCCACACCGCTGGAAGGTGGCAGAGACCTCTCCCAACACGCCACAGTGGGCATGACCTTGTGACTGAGAGTTGGGGACATCTGGCCTGGCTAGCCCCAGCGTGGCAGGGCAGGGCGGGGGATTGGGAGGGGGTAGAGAGGGCTGGTTCCCGGATGACCCTGGGTGTCCCCACATCCAGGGAGCCCCGGGGTCACAGCTGGCTGAGGGAGGCCACCATGGCTCACACCCCTCCCACTGTCTCCGTAGATCTGGTTCTGAAGAAATGTGACCTGGAGCTGGAGGTCAACGGCCATGACCACCACACAGCTGACCTGTGCCGGGAGAGACTGGTGGTGAGGCGGGGCCAACCCTTCTGGCTGACCCTGTACTTCGAGGGCCGAAGCTATGAGGCCAGCACAGACAGCCTCACCTTCAGTGTGGTGACCGGTGAGTCCCTCCACCACCCCCGCGCCCTGACCTGCTGTGTTCTGTGATTTCATGGCCCCCTGACAACGGGGCACCAGGCTGCAGGGAGTTCCTATCAGCCACTAGCTCCCTGTTACAGATGAGGTAACTGAGGCCCAGAGCATGGAGGGATGATGCCCCAGGCCACCCAACCTCATAGACAAGTGGACTGGACAAGTGGCCTGGGTTCTGAAAACCTGTTGTCACCGAGGGGTGGGGCTCAGCTTCCTACCGCAAGGTCCATCAAGGTCCTGCCCACTCTTCCCCACAGCAAAACAGCTTTCAACTCTTATCAACAGTTACTTCCCCCAATCTACATAACCCGATCAGGCCACTGGGCTCAGGTCCATATCGGGTCTGGATGGTGGAAAGAACCCAGCTGGCTCTGTCTCTCTGAGAGGTTAATTTTGTGTTCCCATGGTTCCTTCTCCAAGCCTTGGGAGGCTGCCTTAGGCTCGGGGACTGACAGACAGACCTGGGTCCTGGTGTAGACTGAACTGCCTATCCGCTGTGTGACCTTGGACAAGTTGCTTAGCCTCTCTGAGCTCGTGTTTTATCCTGTGTGAAGCACTCATGGTGGAGGGTTGTTAGGGCCGAAGGTTCGGACATGGGGGAGTGCCTTGTAGACGTTAGCCGCCGTTCCTGCTCTTGTTCCAGCGGGGGTCCAGCGATGGGTGAAAGGACATTGAGGCCCCCCCACCCCACTCCCAGATGCCCAGTGCCCATCTTCTTGGCTTGCCATTCCTGGGAAAAGAGCCTTGAATGCCAAGTCTCTGGATTTGGCTTGGGGTGGGAACCACTCCCTTGAGGTCGGCTAGGGGCCGCCTGGCTGGGACTCTGCTAAAGGGTGAGAAAGGCCAGTTCTTTCTGCGACCTACGAGGGCAGAGAGAGCCGCAAACAGGCTGAGGCCCGTATTTACCTGGCAGCCCTTTGATAAGGCTTTATCACTGTGCCTGCAGACAGGCCATGGATATCCACCCCCTTGCCTTTCCTCCCTCTCCCTCCGCTTCTGGCAGGGATATACCCACTCTCCAGGGTTGGCCCCCCTCACAAGCAGCCAGCACCTTTAGGGCCTGTTTTAACTGACCCGAGGAGGCTTCAGGAGCTTCTGATCTTTCTAGCCTCAGTTTCCCTCTCTGTAAAGTGGAACGTTGTAGTGTCTAACAGGATACCCTGAGAAGAGTCAGGCTTGTGATGATGAGAATCACAGCACCTATAGAGCACCTACTGTATGCATGCTCATCCTAAATCCTCCCATCTTGGAAGCATAATGAGACCCCGTTTTACAGGTGAAAATACTGAGGCTCAGAAAGGTCGAGTTACCTGCCCAGGTCACACAGTGAGTTAGGGACAAAGCAGGATTCAAACCCCATCCTCAGCGTTGAGGTTTTCCTTGCTGTGAGCTGACAGCAGACACATTTACCTATTTAGCACAAGGGCCAGCCAGGCCTCGGTTTGTTCCTCTGTGAAATGGAATGGTAGGGGAGTTGCCAGAGGGGGCTACCTGTGACTTCCACCTTCTTTCTCTTCTTTCTCAAGTCATCCCCTTTCTTCTCCTCCCTTCATCTAGGCAGCCTGGGGCTAGGTAATTAGGCCCTAAGTTCAGGGTTGGGGTGGGCAGCTGATCTTCCCACCCCAGCAACTAATCTCTGTTCTCCAGTTTCCAGCAACTTATCTCAAACCCTACCCAATCTGCCCTGATCACCTCCAGAGCCCGGCGGGCAGTCTGGGAAGGCACTCTATCTCTGGATGCACATAGCTTCCCTGTCTGAGTTACCAAGAACTCCGATGGACTGAGGAAGCCTGAGGGACAATACCAGGAAGCCAGGCCTTTCACCTCAAGGCCTGGCTTGGATTAACACCCAGCCCTGGGCCTGGCCTGGCCACCCTGCTCTTGTGCCAGAACATTCTACCTTGTGATCAGCCTGTCCTACCTCTTTCAGGAAACTGAGGCCCAGAGAGGGGAGAGTACTGGCGAAGGTCACTCAGTGAGCAGACTATGTGGCCTGACCCTATAAATACCAAGATGCCGTGTATTTCGCCCAGGTGGTTGGGCTCTGTTTTGGAGTACAGACCACAGTAGACAAATAACATTCTTACTATGGGAATAAAGCTCTGCTTCCCTCTAAGAGGGGGCCAGGGTTTGGAGGGTGAGTGGGGTGGGACTGAGGTCAGCCTGAAGTAGTGAAAAGAACTTTTATGAGGCTGATAGAGGGCTTTCCTCCAGAAGGTTGCCCTCATCCACTCCCCCTCCCCGCACCGCCCCCCCCCGCCAGCCAACCATGGTCTAAGAGAGTCCCCAGGACTCCTGACTCGCCAGGTCATTTAGGCCCAGAGGGGTCCCTAAAGCATCTCTGGCCCCACAAAGGGTACCACGTGGAATGGCAGCCAGTGAATTTTCAGAGCTGGCCCACATGAGCAGTGGCTGGACCTGGGGGGACAGCCCATCCACATCCCCCCCAGCCCAGGGCCCCTTGGAAGAAAGGGTGTGTGTGTGTGTGTGTGCACGGCTGCCCCAGGATGGAGAGAAAGGGAAATGTGTTTCCTGACCTGTCCTTGAGGGTGGTATGTCAATAATGACAGTAGCCGTGGGCCCTGACCCGGGCCGTTACTATGGTGACCAAATCATTGATTGTCCAAACAGGGACATTTCTGAGAATGAAAGAGCGCCATTAAGAATTACACTGGGGCCACGGCCGTAAGCTGGGACTGTCCCAGGCAGACTGGGCCATATGGTCACCCTGACTTGGTCCCTTTCAGACTCAGTTTCCCTATCTGTAAAGTGATTCAGTTGAACGAGGCAATTTCTACATTTCACTCCAGTCCTCAAACTCTGTTGTTTGGCCTGAGGATTCTGACTTGTAGTGGTCCCTTTTGGTGACGTGGAGGAATGCTCACGTATCCTGCATGATTATTGTTCTAGTCACTGTTTGGAATGCTTTCTATGAAATCTCTGCCGGTCCTCTAAACTGCGCTAAGACGTGGGAGTGACAATAACAAAAAATAATTGCCACTTATTGAGCGCTCACTGTGTGCCAGGCACCATACGATGTACCTCCACCTTTTTAAGCTTTGCAATGACCTTATAAGGAGGTATTTGTAATTGACTGTAATTGACCCCATTTTACAGATGAGGAAGCTGAGGCACAGAGAAGCTAAGTAGCTTGTCCAAGGTCGCAGAGCCAGTTTGAGACCTAGAATCAGACCTTTCCAGACATTTAGTCTAAGCCTATTTTCTTCTTTGATGAGAAAATTGCCTAGATAAGAGAGGCCTGGTGACTTAGCCCAGGTCACACAGTGCTCAGAGCCTGAGTAGGGGAACCAGACCCCGGCTGGCTCTCAGGGGCCCAGTGCTGCTCAACTGCTCAGGAGCATTTAAAGGCTTACAGCCAACACCTGGCACCCAGACAGGGCCTTGGAGGCCTGTGTCATGCCTGTTAGCTCATGGTTATATTTGGGCCTGGGTGTGGGTGGGGCTGGTGGGTTGGGAGGAGGGCTCAGGGTTCTGGGAGGGAGCCTCTCAGTGAACGGGCCCCCACATTGTCGGAAGCAGGTGGGCTGAGCTACAGGGAGCTCGGAAGAATAAAAATAAACTTTCCTGGGCAGCCACCCAACTAGGCAGAGAAGGTTCTGTTTCTCCTCTCGGCCACCCAAGTCCAGAAAGGATGACTAGCCCTCCCATGACTCAGACCTGCCTGCAGGGGCAGGGCCTTCCCCCCACCAGAAAAAGCAGCCAAGCTTAAGGCCGGCTCCCTATCTCAAAGAGCCTTCAAGACCCCTACGAGAGAGCACGGGAATGAGAGGCACCATGGAGGACAGCCCAGAGCCTAGAGACCTGGGCTCAGATGCTAACTTTGCCCCAGACTCCTGGGATATCCTCGGGAGACCCTCCTCTCTCTGAGCCTCAGTTTTCCTACCTGTACAAGGGGCCTCAGGGGAAGCAGGAAGGGCCAAGGCTGTGGGGTGGGGAGGGGATGGTTATGACCCTCCCTTGGAGCTGCCTATGGAGATTCAAAGGCCAAAACCCGGAGGGGGGCCTGGGGAGACAAACACCTAGAGGCTGGACAGCCCAGCACTCCACAGCAAGGGGCCTCTCAGATGGGCTCCCGTGGGGACATCAGAGGACCAAGGTCCTATCCTGCTCAGAGTCTGGGCTTATTCTTCTGAAAGGGAAAGCTGCTCCCTAGCAGGGAAAGGATTCAGGTGGGAAAGGGGATGCTCCCCATGGATTCCTGTTCGTGCTACAGGTGGACACACAGAGCCCAGAGAGGGGGAGGGTCTTGTGCACAGTCACACCCGCCCAGGCAGCATGACTGAGACCCTGCCCCAGGTGGAGCTGCCCCCTCTCCCAGGAGAAATCTGTCTGGCGCCTGTGGCTTTCCACGCATTCTCACAAAAGCACCCCAGCAAGGCTGGGGTCTGATCCTCACTTTATAGACGAGGAAACCAAATCTCAGGGAGATGAAACCTCTTGCCAAAGTTCCTGTACTGGTCAGCCGCAGAACTAGGCCTCAAACCCCGGCCCACGGGACCCCCTGCGTGCACCCGGCCCCTGCCGGTGTCTGACCGGCTCACGGCCATGGCCTTTTCTCCGCCAGGCCCAGCCCCCAGCGAGAAGGCCGGGACCAAGGCCCGCTTCCCGCTGTCCAGTGCCGTGGAGGAGGGTGCCTGGGCGGCCACCGTGCTGGACCAACAGGACGGCGTGGTCTCGCTGCAGCTCAGCACCCCGGCCAACGCCCCCATCGGCCTGTACCGCCTCAGCCTGGAGGCCTCCACCGGCTACCAGGGCTCCAGCTTCGTGCTGGGCCACTTCACGCTCCTCTTCAACACCTGGTGCCCAGGTGAGCCATACTCTCCATGGGCGGGGTGGGGATGGGGGAGCTGGGCAGGCCTAGACCACCCATGGGGGCCGCTGAGGGCGGGGCGGGGGGAATGGGGCAGAAGACTGAGGGAAGCCCCCTCAGGCCCGCCTCACAAAACCCTCGCCATATGCGCACACTGTTACCCCCTTTACACAGGCAGAAAGGCACTGGGAAGCAAAATGCCCCTGCCCGAGGCCGCACAGCTACCAAGGCATCTCACCCGGCGTCCGAGGCGCGTGTGTTCACCGAGCACTGTGACCTGGGCGCGCAGGTGTCTCGGGTTCAGAGCCCCATTCAGGAATGGGGTGCCCAGGGGCTGCCCGGGCCTTCCGTTCACCGCCGACACCCAGTTCTGGTTCATGGGGCTCTGTTTGAAATTTCACCAGATGGGCTTGGGGAGGGGAAACTGAGGGAGGCAGAGGGGTAGGTAGCCAGAAGCGGTGGGCAGGAGCAGTTTGTGCCTCCTTATACGCTTCCTCCCTGCTTCTTCTCAACAATCCCAAGGGGGAGCCTGTCAGTGTCCTCGCAGGCTCAGAGAGGTCAAGTGGCTTTGGGAAGCTCCTCAGGAAGTAAGTGGACAATGCTGGACAAAACTAGCAACTTGGAGGGGATGGCTTGAAGAGCCGAGGCTGGCTCAAGGAGGAAGGGGGCGGCAGGGGCTGCCACACCCCTTCCCAGGCCTCAGTTTCCCCATATGACTAACAGGGCAGCCGGATCTGTTTCCTTCCTGCTCCTGCATAGTGAGGCAGAGAGACAGGCCTTGTGGGTGGGCCCCAGCCAAGGAACGGGGTGTCCCTCCTCAAAGCTGGAGCCCAGCCACAAATTCTGGCCTCTCCAGCATCAGACAACCTGCTTCTTACTGGGCCACTGCTTCATTTCTTCTTCTCCATTTTGGGGCATTTTATAACACAGTCAAGGGGAAAGACTTTTTATTTTCTCTTTTATATATTTTGGCTTTTAGATGTCCTCTTCATATAAGCTTTAAGCACTGCAGGAAAACAGCCCCGCTTTGACTCTCCTTGGGGAGCAGCATTATTAGCTGTCTTGGGGGACTCATCTCCTTAGATTCCAGTGTATATGCCTAGAGACACTGCCACCTTAATGGGGTTCTCTGTCTCTCTTAAACACAAAAGGATCCCACAGTATACATTAACCCACAACTTATTTAACTTTTCCCCTCTACCATACATCCTGACGATCTTTCCACATTGGCGTGCATACACATCTGCTTTTTTTCTTTTTAAGATTTTATTTATTTATTTGAGAGAGCGCACACAAGCAGGGGGAGTGGCAGGCAGAGGGAGAAGCAGACTTCCCTCTGAGCAGGGGGTCCGATGTGAGTCCCAGGACCCCAGGATCGTGACCTGAGACCAAGGCTTAACCAACTGAGCCAACCAGGCGCCCCTGCTTTTTTTTTTTTTTAAAGATTTTATTTATTTATTTGACAGAGAGAGACACAGTGAGAGAGGGAACACAAGCAGGTGGAGTGGGAGAGGGAGAAGCAGGCCTCCCGCGGAGCAGGGAGCCCGATGCGGGGCTAGATCCCAGGACCCTGGGATCATGACCTGAACCGAAGGCAGACGCTTAACCGACTGAGCCACCCAGGCGCCCCTGCTTTTTCTTCTTAAGAGCTCAGAGTGCCCTGTGTCTTGCCAGTGTGGACGGTTCATTGATCTGGCCCTCCACCCAGGGACATGAGGTTGTCCCCATTGGATCCTCACAGGAAGGGTGTCTGTGGAGCACCCTTGTTCACACGCCCTGGGGCCACATGGAATGGTTTCTCAGGACAGAAGTGGCCTTGCTGGACCCCGCGGTAGACTTGTTTTGATTTTGTCAATCTGCAGAGCTTACAGCTAGTAGGCCGCCCGGTGCACAGAGCAGGAAGACGCCCAGAGTCCCCCTCTCCCTCCCCACTCACCAACACCGCAGGGTTTCAGAGTTCGGGGAACAAGGATCAAAGTTCCTGGGATGTCCCCTTCCTCTGGCCTTTCCTCCAGCCCTGCCCCACCCCCACCCTGCGGGTTGGGGTGGCTGTCAGCCAAGCAGCACAGTGACTAAAGTGACCCACATCCCAGGGTGGGAGCCTGCGGGGGGGTGGGCGCGGAGGAGCTGGTGATTCGGAGGCAGGAAGTTGGGCTCGGTGGGGTGGGGCTGCTGGGTGGGAACACTGCTGTCCCTTTGGGACCTGCCCCTGAAACCAGAGCCTTCTACCCCTGAGCTCAGTAAGGACAGGAGGACAGGAGGGAGCGAGCGCCAAGTATGTGCGGGGACCTAAGGCCCCCAGCTTGACCAGCAGAGCTGGGTGGAGGACAAAGTCCCTGCCACCTGGGTCGGGGTAGGGACAACGCTCTCACCCCAATGACGAAGCACCATGGGTTTTTCTTTCTCCTACACTATCAGCTGACTTACCACTGTATAGTTCATCTGCCGGAAGGCTAAGTTTTGTTGCGGCCCTGGGAGCCACAGCGCAGGATGTATAAGACAAAAGATGCTTAGCCACTTTCACATTTGCTTTCTCCATGCCCTAAGAGGGGGGCTGCAGATGGGCCTGACAGAGCCCCGGGGGCTCAAGGGCCCCGAGCAGCTGCATTCCAGGCCAGTGCCACCATATTTTTAGGGACCCATAAAAATGTTTTAATTTCTTTTAAAATCAGAAGACAAAAATGAAAGTTTAGGTCAGAGAATATATTTTAATATGTTACATTAATATATTTGTTATTATACCAATGCAGTCATAAAATATATTAATTTTTATTTTATTATTATATTTTTATATATATTATATATATTATATGTTTTACGGAGGAAGGGGCCCACAGAGGCAAAAATGCCCAGGGCCCACCAAAGTCATAATGAGGCTCTGGATTTCCTCTTCCCGGCCTCAGTTTCTTCACCTGTGAAGTGGGGCATGGTAAAGGCCAGCTTGATCTTTGACCTCCTGCCACGTGGGCCCGACTGCCCCAGCACTCTTTTCTGTGGTCGTCAGCCACGAGGGGCTAAGTGCCATGCATACCAGTACCTGTCCCTGGGCTGTCTCTGGTCCTCTGCTTAGCAATGTCATCCCACCAGACTCCGAGTATCTAAATCGTAGTCATTTCTCAAGGCAGCATTCACAAGGCACCTGCTTCAGGGCAATCCTCCCTGACCACCCCCTCCCCGCAGCTGGACAGGACCCCATTTCCCCTGAGCCCCAATAACCCTAGTAGGCTTTCTCTCTACCTTGAATCAAGCTCCTTCTCACACTGGCTCAGGGCTTTAGCTTGCCAAGCACCTTTCAGGTCTGCATCCCATGTTACCCTCAGGGAACACAGTGAGGGGGTTGAAGAAGGAGAAGTGATCTCCCCAGGGTCACACAACAAGTGAGAATCAGCTAGGAGATTCCTGACTCCTGGTCCAGGGCTCCTCTATCTTTTGTGTGGGCATCAGTTTTCCTACCTGTAAAATGGGGCTTTCAAGGTCCCTTTCTTACAGAGCTCTTGTGGAAATTAAACATTAATATATGCCATACACTTACTACAGACAAGTGTTAGAGAAATGGCAGCCACTGATAATACTAGCTGAAAACACTTATTTCATGGGTATGGGGTTATTAATGAATGATTAGCTTTTCTGATTCAAAGATAGAAGGTCCTCCAAGACTCACCTAGCCCTGGGTCTTGGCCCCCTGGCGGCCATGTCTCTGGGGACCTTGCACTCTGCCACACCCAGAGCTCAGGCCCCTTCCTTCCCACCCCCAGCGGATGCTGTGTACCTGGACTCAGAGGAGGAGCGGCAGGAGTACGTGCTCACCCAGCAGGGCTTCATCTACCAGGGCTCGGTCAAGTGCATCAAGAGCATACCTTGGAACTTTGGGCAGGTAGGGCCACATCCTGCCCTTCCCAACCACTGCCGGCCCACTGTGTGTGGGGCCCTGGGTCTGAGGCAGTCAAAGCTGCAGAGGTGTGAGCTGGTCTCAGAGCTGCCCACCCTATGCTGTCAGGGATTCAAGAGCCCTGAGATGGCTGGAGGATCAGAGAGGGTCCGGGCCAAGCCTGAGGTCATACAGCAAAGGATTGCCCTACCCACCGTGGGAATGGCAGTCCCAGATTCAAAGTGGGGAAAGAATCGGGAGAGCCTTTGGGAATTGTGGGGCTAGCAGGTGCTCCAGGAGGGAGAAAGGGAATATTCAAGGCCATATACCAAAATAACAGAAATGCCATTGTGTGTGCTGAGGGGAAGCTTTACACCATTATCTAGATCAGTGGCTTTCAAACTCAAATATACATCAGAATCACCAGAAAAGTGTGTTAAAACACAGATCACTGAGTCCCACCCCTAGTTTCTGACTCAGTAAGCCTGGGTGTGGGCTGGGAATTTGCATTTTTGACAAGTTCACAGGCAATGCTGATGCTGCTGATCAGTGGTCATACTTTGTGAACCACTGGTTGTATCAGTTAGCTACTGCTGAATAACAAACAAGCCCAAAACTTACAGGCTTAAAACAACAGCTATTTATTATTTCTTATAAATCTATGGCTCACCTGGGGCATGGCTGCCTAGGCTGGGCATGGCTGACCTCCGCTAGATGGCACATCTCTGTTCCATGTGGTTCCTCATCTTCTAGCAAGTCAGCCCAGGCTGGTGGTTCGAACGAGGGATCTCATTTCCTCTGCCATCCAGGCTCCCATGAAAATTCTTGTGACACTGCTGAGAAAACTCAAGAAGCAAGAGTTTTCACACTCCTTCCTGGTCCTTCAACCTCCTGGTGTGTTGGGGGGTGTTGGCCTTTTAGGATGGGGTTCACCTTGAGACTTTTCCCAACAGCCCCTGGGTTAGGGTTTCCATATTCAGGTCCCCAGAGTCCTGCCCTGGGACCACAGGGAAGTCTTCCCTGTGTGGTGTGGGGCTCTGACCTCAGTTTCCCCATCTGAATACTGGGGATACTAATTGCAAGAATATCTGCCCAAGAACCTATAGCCTGCTCTGGGATGTACATGAAATGGTGGTATGGGTGGGATACAAAAAATACATCGCAGAGTAAATTGGCTCTTAATTCCCAGGGCTCTGTATTCTCCCCTGAGAAACAGAACAAAGCCAAGTCCTTCTTTTCCTTTCCTGACTTCCTGTTCTGTGTCCAGGCTTATGTTGAGCCATTGGACACAGCTCTTGTGAATCTTCTGGAAGTCATCACAATCCAGAATGAAAAGACCTAGAGGAAGGAAGTGAATAACTGCCGGTGGGAATCAGGGCAATTTCTGAAATAAGCAAGGTCTGAGCTGGGCTATGGAGGAGGCGGAAACACGGTATACAAGGCAAAGGGAATGGCCTGAGCAAAAAGCTCAGAGGTGGGAAAGTTTATCTTGTGCTTAAGAAGAATTCTGTAGCTCAGGGAGCAGTTTATGTCTGGAGGAGCCCCAAGAGATGAAGTGGGAGAAGTCAGCAGGGTCCGGGGTGTGAATGTCAGGCAGATGGCAATAGGGAGCCACAAAAGGGCTCAAAGCCATGGAGGGAGACCTGTGATGAAGCCTGGTTTAGGACAACACTACAGAGGGTGGGTACCAGGGGGCAGACTGCCTTTGGACTGGTCAGACAGGTGGTCCAGTGTAATGTGACAAGGAGGGAGGGCCCTACTTTTGATAATGATAACATTTGAGTTGCAAGGATGAGAAGGTGTGGGCCATACAAGAGTGGCTGGAAGAGCATTCCAAGCAAAGGAAATAGCAAGTGCAAAGGTCCTGGGGCAATGAATGGTGATAATGAGGTCAGAGATGGGGTGGGATGCAGATTGTGAAGGGTCTTGAGGTCACAGGGCAAAGTCTAGATTTTATTCTGGGTGCAGTGGAAACAAAGGAGTGATTTCAAGATATAATTTACCTCACTTCCAGTCAGAGCAGCGTGTTGGGGTGGAGGGGGCAGGGGGGAGAGAGGGTTCTCATCAGCTCTGCAGGTGAGTCAGGCCTTAGGGGAAATGAGATATTTGGCACAGCAGATATGGGGAAGGGACAGTGGCAGGGCCTGAGGTGACTCTGAGGAGAGGGAAGCCCCAGGGATGCTGTGGGTGCTACTCCACGTTCCCAGGACACCCCTCCCCCTCCGCCCCAGCCAGGCCCTGAATGCAGGCACATCCCTTCCTCTTTCTCACAAACTCAGTCACTGTCCCCCCATTGCCCATCCTGGGTGAGGCAGAGCTGGCCTCACAGAGATGTGGCTGACCCAGCCCGGACTTTCCTAGTGTGTGAGATGGAACAGAGAGGACCTATGGCTGCAGGGCTGCACGGCAGGCTTCCGGGAGGAGGTGGCTTCTCATTTCCGTCTTCCTTCTCTTGTTTCCCCCAACACAGTTTGAAGACGGGATCCTGAACATTTGTTTGACGCTCCTGGACATGAACCCCAAGTTCCTGAAGGATGCCTGCCGTGACTGCTCCCGCCGCAGCAACCCTGTCTACCTGGGCCGGGTGGTGAGCGCCATGGTGAGTAAGAGGCGGGGCGCATCCCAGGGTCCAGGCCCATCATGGGCCCCAGTAGGCTCCCCGCTTCCTGTGATGATGGAGGCCACACTCCATCCTGGGCTTGGTTGGGGGGTCCCAGGAGATGGGAAAGTCTCAGCTAAGAGAGCTTGTATTTGGAAAGACAAGATTTACACAAATAAGGGTAATGTCATGTGGTCCCTAAAAGCAATTCATTCATTCACTCATTCCGCAAACATTTATTAGATGCCACCCGTGTCCTAGGCACTGGAGAAACGGTTGGGTGTATGACGTGTACGGTCTCTAACTTCATAGAGCTTATATTCTCGTGGGTGGGTGGGTGGGAGGAGACAGACATTGACAGAAATACGGTGGGAATGAGTCACAATCAGAAATGATGATGCAGGCACCGAAGGAAGCCAGAGGTGTGAGAGTGTCTACCTGCAGAATCCAACTTCGGTGAGGGGCTGGGGGGGGACCCCCCCTAAGTGATGATCCCTAAGCTGATATAGTAAGTGGGAGAAGAGCATTCCAGGTTCGAGGAGCAGAAAGGAGGCTGGCATGGCTGGAGTGGAATGAGCAAGGAGGGGGAGTGGGGTGCAGGAGGTGGGCAGGGGTTAGGCCATGCAGGCCTCATGGGTCACAGTCAGGAGGCTGGATTTTATTCTCAAGGCAATGGGAGCGTGAGGGGAATGACACAAGCCGGGCGGGGGCCCGGAGGGGGTCTTCGTAAAACTCAGATCACTTCCTGTCACTCTCCTGCCGCCCCGTGGACCAATTCGCATCACCAGCATCACCTTCATGACCTTGACCCCTCACCACCTCCTCCCTTCATCCCCTTCTCTCTCCCACACCCCGGGCTCCAGCCCCAACCATCTCCCACGTCCCAGCCTGTCACACCTTGGTATCTTTGCATGGGCTGTTCCCTCTCCTAAATTCCTTTCCCTGCCTTTCACCACGTACTGAACTCACAGCACCTGCTCCCCAGGCTTGGTCCCTCTGATGCCCTGCTGGTTGTAGGTCAACTGCAATGATGACCAGGGCGTGCTGCTGGGACGCTGGGACAACAACTATGGGGATGGCATGAGCCCCATGTCCTGGATCGGCAGCGTGGACATCCTGCGGCGCTGGCAGACCTCGGGCTGCCAGCGTGTCAAGTACGGCCAGTGCTGGGTCTTCGCTGCTGTGGCCTGCACAGGTGAGCTGCACGCTGGGCGGGGGGCGGGCCTGGAACCTGTTCACAGCCTCCCTGAGCCCTGGGATGGGGGCAGGGAGAGCACTCAAATGGGAATCAGGAGACCCCAGTTCTGGGGTCCTGTCTCTGCCTCCAACGCCACCAACGTACTGTGAGGCCTGGAGTCGGCGGCTGCCCCTCTCTGGTCCTTTTTCCAACCACTACCCTGCAGGTGGTTATTAGGATCAAGGGATGTCATTTGGGAGGCAGCCTGGGCTCAGGGTTGGGAAGATGGGCTTTGGAGCCAGGCACCCCTGAATTAAGAATCCCCAGTAACACTCACCTGCTCTGTGACCTTGAGCAAATGATTTCCTTCTGAACCTCGGTTTCCTGGTCTGTAAAATGGGGGCGAGAGGGCCTCCCTCCTAGGGTGGGTTCATAGAAAACTGCTCGGCCTGGAATTCAGCCCAATGTAGCTCTCAGTAAATATTAGCTATTAGTAACTCAATAATAGCAGTCATTATCAATGTCGAGAAAGAGAAAGCCCTTTCTAAAATGTAGATGCGGAAAGAGAAAGCAATTTAAAACCAAAATGTAAAAGAAATCTTTAAAAAATCTTAAATATTCGAGCCCAGAGAATGGTGAAGACTGTTCTGGGCTGGGGTTGGTGCATATGAGAATGAGTCTGTATCCTATACCAGACAGAAACATAGACTCCAGAGTCAAGGCCTGAATCTCAGTCCCAGCTCTGCTTCTTACCAGCTGTGTCCCCGGGTAATCACTGAGCCTCTCTGAGCCTCAGCTCTGTTACATGTGAACCGGACTTTAAAGGCACTTTTAACAGTGCCTTTATCCTGGGGCAGCTGTGAGGATAACGTATGAGGTGCTAGAAATGATTTCAGACGCCTAACAGCAAATACTTATCTCATGCTGTTAGATTATTCTTATTACGATGACTACCACTGCTATTATTATTTGTTAGGCTCAGGAAGTCTAAGAGGCTGGTCCTGATTTGCAGCTTCTCTGACTCCGGGACCAGGGCCCAGGCCCAGGGAAGGGCCTCGGGGCATGCCAGCGCTGTCCTCCACACCAGCAGTCTGGGTCGGGGTGGTGAGGCCCGGGCTTCCGGCTGGGCTGTCTCTGCACCCCCTTCCCCACGGCCGAACCCCCATGCCTGCCTGCTTCTGGGACCTGTGCATTCCCTTTTCTTGTGCGAACTCCCCTGTCCCAGACCTCTTCTTCCTCTGAGGGGCCTGAAATGCCTCCTCAGAGAACCCCAAGGATTTTCTGGAGACCCACCACCATCTGTGGCCTGGGTCCCCAAGCTCACCTGTGGACACCTCCCTCCCCTGGGGCTGTGACCTCTGGAGGTCTTGCTCCAGACCCCTCTCTCCCCAAGGCCAGGGCTGAGTCTGGGTCCCTGCAGCCTTCTCCCAGGCCTGGTGTGACAGAGCCAGGGAAAAGTGACTTGGACGAGCAGGCCCCCGGGGCTTCTGCAGAAAGCCGCCTGCTGGACTGGCCCAGGGACTCTGGTGTTCCGCTGCCTGTTTTGAATCCCAGCTCTGTCACCAGTCCCTGGGTGGACTTGGGCAAGAGAACTGGGGTCTCCAAGCCTGTATCCTCACCTACCAAATGGACGCAGAGGTGACGGACCTAATTCACGGGGAGATGTCACTTCGCACAGTCTCTGGTTCAGGTTAGGTTTGGGTTTGTGGGCTTCTGGGGGAAGCTGGGATTCCTCAGCCGGACCCTGGAGCATTTTCGAAATGTCCCAGAGTCAGCCCACCGTGACTGGATAGACGTTTGCCGTGACGGGCACCGTGGCACCCTGCTCTTCCACCCTGGGCACGGGGCAGATGAGACTGCCACATCCACTGCCTCACTGAATCACCGCAACATCCCAAAAAGCTGCTATTATTCGCCCCTCTTAGAAGAGGAAATGGAATCTCAGAGACGGGAAGTGGTTGCCCAAGGTCACACGGCTGGGGAGCGGCATAGCCAGGCTTGAGGTCCGGTGTCCCGGTTCCGGGGCACCCTTCTGGCCTGAGCCTGTGATGACAAGCCCTCTTGGGACACCAGCTCTAGGACAGGGGTGACGCCTTGCTCCTCCCCACGCCTGGTCTGTATCCTGAGGCCTGTCATGTCATGGGGCAAGGCCTGGGGTCGGGACGCAGAGAATCTACTGCCCGGGCCTCAGCGGGGAGCCACCAGGCAGGAGGGGAGGGTCAACACGGTCCTTCCTTCCCGCTCCCAGGGGCCCTCGTCCAGGGCCATCACGGGACCTCTTACCCTGCTTGACAGTGGACCAAGGGCAACAGGGCAAAGGTCCCTCACACACACACACTCACACACACACTCACACGCACACACAGACACACGCATGCACACACACACACGCTCACACGCACACTCACGCACAGACACGCATGCACACTCACGCGTGCGCGCGCACTCACACACTCGCACACACACTCACGCGCACACACACGCACACACGCACACACTCCACCCACCATCTCCAAGACTCAATCTCAATCAAAACTAAAAGGCAAAAGTCCCATTCAGTAGGGCTTCTCTCACTTTTTATTTTTTTTAAATTTTTATTTTTTTAAAGATTTTTTATTTATTTGACAGAGAGAGACACAGCGAGAGGGAACACAAGCAGGGGGAGTGGGAGAGGGAGAAGCAGGCTTCCTGCGGAGCAGAGAGCCCAACGTGGGGCTCAATCCCAGGACCCCAGGATCATGACCCGAGCCGCAGGCGGACGCTTAACCAACTGAGCCACCCAGGCGCCCCCTTTTCTCACTTTTTAAAAAAAAATTATTTATTTCCTTTATCCCACCCCAAGAGTATGTTACTTTCACAAAACACATAAAAAACTCATTAAAAAATGAGGGAGTGAAAAGGCACCCAAAACGCCGCCTGTCAGGACCACCCCGCCATTCAGGCTCGAATCCTGCCCCGGGTCCCCCTCCCTCCTCAGAAGTCTGTAGGTGTCACCTGCTGCCCAGCTTCTTTGTCCCCCCCATCACTGTGACCCCTGTCCCTCCCCGTCACTGTGACCTCTGTAAACTATGCTTTGGCGTGAGCACAGGGCCCTCCCCTTCCACGACGGTGCCCCAGCACGACTGCGGGCCCTGCGTGTGTGCCATGACCTTGTGCGGTAGAGGAGGAAACAAGGCCCAGAGAACTGGAGGGACTGGCCCCAGGCCACACAGCCCAAAGCAACTGGCATTGCATGGAAGGCCCCCCGGACCCTTGTTCCTTCTTCTGCCTGCTCCACTGTGTGCTCCTTGCCCTAATCTCTACCATTCCTGCCCTTCTTCCCTTTTCCCCTTCCTCCTCCTCCTCTCTCTGCTTCATCCACCCCTTCATCCATTTGACAAAATTGTCTGTGCCAGGCCTGTGCTGGGCTCTGGGCACGTAAAGTAAGACAGATCACTCACTGCCCTCAGAGGACAAATTAGAGGATCCCTCACATGCCCGTCCATTGTGAAGGATGATGAATCCCCAATCTTGCTGTGAATGCAAATGGTGGAGGAATCTAAACCTGGTGGGTGGCCTTCCAGGCTGAGGGAATAGCGTGTGCCAATGCCCTGTGGCTGGCAGGAGTGCAGAGTGCTGGAGGAGCAGCGAGTGTGGCTCAGGCAAAGTGTGCAGGAGATGGTCAGGGGCCAAACCATGTAGGGCCAGCGGCCATAGCCAGAGGTCTGGCCTTGACCTCAAGGGCCATGGGGAGCCATCGAAGGTTTAGCAGAGGAGTGTTGATGTCCGACTTGCATTTGGGGGGCTTCTTCTGTTAGCTGTGATGTGAGGAGGCAGAGTAGACATGGAGTGACCAGTGAGGTGGGCACCATCATCTGGGTAAGGGGATGGTGCCCACCCTCACCACCTGGATAATGGGTACAGTGCTGCCTGGGATACAGATGGGCATGTGGATGTGCAGAGCAGGGCAGATGTTTCCAGATCCTCAGCTCATCCCCTAATCCCTCTCTCCATCCTGTCCCCTCCCCGACCCCCAGTGCTGCGGTGCCTTGGCATCCCCACCCGAGTGGTGACCAACTTTAACTCGGCCCATGACCAGAACAGCAACCTGCTCATTGAGTATGTCTACAACAAATTTGGGGAGATCCAGAAGGACAAAAGCGAGATGATCTGGTAAGCTGGGGCCCGGGGTCAGGGGTAGGCCCCACTGGGGAGGGTGCCCTGGAAGGGAAACCTAGGAAGACTTCTCAGAGGAGGTCACATTTGAATTGGGGTTAAAAGTTGAACAGTATTTGGACAAGGGGGAACAGGGCCTGGGGAGGACTCTCCAGTTAGGGGCCCCAGCATGAGCAAAGGAGGGAAAGTCAACACACAAAGTCAACAATGCATGAAAAGGTGTCAGGGGAATGATTTTTCAGGAGTCTGGAATGCCAGGTTAGAGGGTCTGGGCTTGTCTCCAAAAGCAACGGGTTGTCACCAAAGGCTTGAAACTGGGAGAGGGACACTGATGACACTGGAGCAGGAGATCAGAAGGGGAGAGATTGCAGGGGGGGACCAGGGTGTGGCCCAGGCAAGCCTGAAACGTGGCAGAGCCCCGGAGCTGGAAAAGAAGGGACAGCCAAGAAGCAAGGAGGTCCCATCAGCTGGACTCAAGGAGCCACTGAAAAGGGGAGGGCTGTGGGAGAGGCACTGACAGTGACTCCCCAAGTAGGAGTGAGCACCTGGCTGGGGCCCAGGGGAGGAAGAGCAAGGAGGAGCGTCGGGGACGCTCTGGGCTGAGCCTAGGACAGGCGAGTGTGGACTGCCCGCCGGAGGAGTGTGAGTCCTCACTTCATTTCTCCCACAGGAACTACCACTGCTGGGCCGAGTCATGGATGAGCAGGCCGGACCTGCAGCCTGGCTACGAGGGGTGGCAGGCCCTCGACCCCACACCCCAGGAGAAGAGTGAAGGTGGGTGGGCGTGGCCCCCTTCCCTAGACAGGGAAACTGAGGCTTGGCGAGAACTCCCCCACAGTCCCTCAGCCCGGAGAGGCAGAGCCAGGTTCTAACCCCAGCCTGGCTGACTCCAGAGACCACTGATTGGTCTACACAAGTGTGGGGGGGGTCTTCACTCGTAGTGTACGATCCGCTTCTTTTACGATTTGAAAAGTAATTCACATGCATTATGGAAAACAGCAAATATGGAAAAGCACAAAGAAAAAAATCAAACAACATCTTTGCCCTCTCCCCCTCAAAAGAAATGTCATTAACATTCACACACAGCTTCCAGTAATTTCCTATTATATATTTGTTTGTAGGTGTGTGTGTGAGAGACAGAGAGCCAGAGACAGAGAGAGGGAGAAAGAGATAGAAAAAAGAGAAAGAGAAAAGGAGACAGAACACCAAGGCAAATTTGGGTGAAACCAAATGGATCCTTTTTCAGAATGACATTTTTATTTGTATTTTTTTTTTATTTAAATGCAATCAGCCAACATATAGTACATCATTAGTTTTTGGTGTAGTGTTCAACGATTCATTAGTTGCGTATAATACCCAGTGCTCATCACATCATGTGCCCTCCTTAATGCCCATCACCCAGTTACCGCATCCCCCCAACAGAATAATATTTTTAAATGCATAGAATATATTACCTAGGGTAACAAAGAAAACGAATCGCACTGAAACATGGTTATCAAAATTTAAAAAAATAACTATGATATAATAATATATGGTTTACAGAACAAGATCTAGTGGTAGAGATAGTAAGTTCCATAATGTACTGGTACAGATGTGTTTAAGCAGTATTTCCAGTTATCTATGACAACTATAAAGTGATACATAAATGTCTGTGTTCCTTATGAGTGAGAAGTCAGAAGTGCACCTAAGACTATGGTTTGTCTGCTTTCACAATCGAAGGAAGTGTTATCCAAATTCAGTGAAGACAAAGATGTAATTTTTTTCCCATCCAAGTCCATGGACCCCCGAATTCTATTTGCAGTGCTTTGGGGGTCTTTGGTCCCTGCGTTAAGATCTCCGGTTGCACGTGGCCTTTTGTCTAGGCCCTGTCACTTCTCCATACGTCCTTGGCATTTCTCTATACATAGTTTTCCGCGATTTTAATTTTTTTTTCTTTAAAGATTTTATTTATTTATTTGAGAGAGAGCGAGCGAGAGATAGAGAGCACGAGAGGAAAGAGGGTCAGAGGGAGAAGCAGACTCCCCGCCGAGCAGGGAGCCCGACGTGGGACTCGATCCCGGGACTCCAGGATCATGACCTGAGCCGAAGGCAGCCGCTCAACCAACTGAGCCACCCAGGCACCCCGCGATTTTAATTTTAAATGAATGTTACCACGTTGCATCAAATGGATATACTGTAGTAAGCTACCCAGCCTCTAGCCCTCCACATTTAACTTTGTGACCAGTTTGAAGCAGTTGTGAACCCCAGTGAGAGAAACATCCAGCTCTCATGTTCATTCAGTCATCGTGCACTCCCTGAGTACATTGATGGGCGGGTGTGGCTCTCTGTGCGTGCAGGAAGCAGGACAGACGGACGCACTGCCTTCTACCGTATGGCTCCCTCCCTTCCTCGGGATGCCTGAGGATACGCTTCTATTTTATATTTCAGACACTTACATAGCATTTAGTATACCCGAATCCTCATTAGGTGGGTACGAATATCCCCACCACACAAAACAGGCTTAGAGAAGTTAAGTCACTTCCCCAAGGTCACCCAGCTAATAAGAGGCCAGCTGTGATTTGAACCCCAGAAGCTGGGCGGGCTCCAGAGTCTCCATTCTCAATTCTTACTCTCTGCTGCCTTCCTTCCCAGCAATGGAGTCCCCGAGTCAAAGGGCTGGATGGTCTTGAGATTCTTTGCAACCGTGTGGTTAAAATGTGGAAGGTGTGGGCTCCTGGGCGGCTCAGTTGGTTGAGCGACTGCCTTCGGCTCAGGTCATGATCCTGGAGTCCCGGGATCGAGTCCCGCATCGGGCTCCCTGCTCAGCGGGGAGTCTGCTTCTCCCTCGGACCCTCCCCCGCCACGCTCTTTCCCTCTCATTTTCTCTCTCTCAAATAAATAAATAAAATCTTTTTGAAAAAAAAGAAAAAAAAGAAATGTGGAAGGTGTGAGAGGGTGCCACCCTCCCCTCAGTCCAGGCCCATCTCTCCTCTTATCCCCAACCAGGGACATACTGCTGTGGCCCAGTTCCAGTTCGTGCCATCAAGGAGGGTGACCTGAGCACCAAGTACGACGCTCCTTTTGTCTTTGCTGAGGTCAATGCCGATGTGGTGAACTGGATCCTGCAGGACGATGGGTCCCTGTGCAAGTCCACCAACTCCCAGACCGTGGGGATGAAGATCAGCACAAAGAGCGTGGGCCGTGATGAGCGGGAGGATATCACCCACAACTACAAGTACCCGGAGGGTAGGTGCCCGGCTCCCCAGAGTCTTCGCCAGCCCGTTTTACCAGCCAGCGGGCTCGTGTGTGTGTGTGCGCGTATACGTGCGCACACGCGTGCGTGTGTGTTTTCTTTGGCAGCCTGCATACAATAAGGACCTGTAGGTTACTCTCCATTTTACATCTTTTCTTAGAAAAAAGCACACTGGGAGACAGTAGTAGAGGAGTATTCACTTAAGAAAAGAATTCTGTATTCCACAAAAGGATTCCATGGGGTTTTTAAGCCTTGCTTTTTTGGCTGGTTTGACTTAAATACAACTGAAGGGATGCCAGTTATGTCGGAGACGCATGCATCTGAACAGAAAGATTAATGATGTCTGTGTTGTTTTGTAACAGTATTTGTCGTAATGGCACCTCCAACCAAAGATGGGCTACCCCACCTCCCCCTTTCTCTTGTAATTGCAATGTGTTTGGACTAGAACAGCTTGAAAGTCCAGAGGGGCGGATCCTGGAAAAGAGATTCCAGGAACACGGTAGTGTTTATTTGTGCAGTATTTCACACACAGCTGGGGAGGTGAGCGTGAAGATGGATGGGGAAGGAGGAGAGAAATGGGGCAAGAGCAACTTAATAAGGGAGCTGCAATCCAATACAAAGGCAAAGCCGCTCTCTGCATCTAGTGTTAAATCCGGAGAGGGAAGAAAGGACACAGCCTGTTTTTTTAAATTGTTTTGGAGCACAACCAGCAGCCAATTCAATACAGTAGATGTTTTCTAAGCATCCGGGAGCCCAGGGGGGCTCACTTAGGTGCCTAAGGAGACATCACTCCTGCCTTCATCTGACTCCCGCTGACTTAGCGGCGCTGTCCCGGGGTTTGGGGAACAAGCAGCCATACTCCAGCTGGAAGGGAGACAACAGAAGGCAAAGGTGCTTCCCCTGGTCTCTGAAAGGTCTAGAGCTGATGGTTTGATGGGAGACATAGATATGCACCCAGCAACACCGGGGAAGAAACAAAAAGGAGCAGAGGAGAGAGGTAGATGGGACACAGGTGGGGAGCTTCACTGGTAGGGGAGGAGGAGGAAAAGATTTCAGGGAGAAGTAATCCCTGGGCGAACACTGGGAGGTGAGAAAGTTTGCATCGTCCTATTGGTATTTACCATCCCCCAAGCACTGTTAGAGGCTTTGGGTATGACAGAGATAAGGAAAATACAGTCTTAGGCTTTGAGCGGCTTAAGAGGGTTAAGTACATAAACAGAAAACAACTTGGTTAAGTGAAAAGCATGATAGGCAATAGGCACAGGTGAAACTCAAGAAGACATGGTGACTCATTTATCCTGGGGCAGGAGTGGTCAGAGAAGGCTTCCTGGAGGAGGGGGTGTCATTTGGGGCTGGGTCTTGAGGGATGTATAGGAGTTTACTTGTGGAAAGTAAATAAAATAGTCTTCCGTCCTCCTGGCACAGCAGTGTAGACAAGGGGCTCCTCCAGGGCTGCTCTGAGTCACCAGGACTCTGAAAAGCCAGCTCACCCTGCCCCAGCCTTGTTGTCCTTGGTCCCTATTTCGAGGGCCATAGTGGAGCTCTCCTCCCCATCCTCACAGGGTCCCCGGAGGAGAGGGAAGCCTTCAAAAGGGCCAACCACCTGAACAAGCTGACTGATAAAGTGGAGACGGGGGTGGCCATGCGGATCCGCGTGGGCCAGAGCATGAACATGGGCAGTGACTTTGACGTCTTCGCCTACATCACCAACAACACAGCCAAGAGCCACACCTGCCGTCTCCTGCTGCACGCCCGCACCGTCAGCTACAACGGGGTCCTGGGGCCTGAGTGTGGCACCAAGGACCTGCTCAATCTTTCCCTGGAGCCCTTGTCCGGTAAGGCCCTGCGTTCCTGGGGCAGTTACTGACCACCAAGCACCGATGCGCTAGGTAGTGACCTCAGCACTTGGCAGGTGCAGTGGACCTCGCAGGTGTTTCTGTGGCACGTCCTCTGGGTCAGGCCCCTCCCACGTCCTTTATAACAAGCAACCCATTTAATTCTTATAACAAAAGTGGGAGGTGGATTCTTTTATTGCCCCATTCTCCCCATGAGAAGACTGAGCACAGAGAGGTTAAGGAACTTTCCCAAGGCCTCACAGTTAGGAAGGGACATGACTGAGACTGGAACCTATACTCTTAGCAACTATACTGCTTTGGTCCATGTCACCTTCATGGGACCTCAGGTTACTTCCCTGGACGCGGTACTGCCTGCTCTCAGCTCTTTCCTTCCCTCCGGCTCCCCCCACGGCCCCTGCAAGAACCTCTCCTGTCCCTCTCAAGGTTCTCAGCCTCAGAGAGAAGGGGTTCTAGAACTTTCTGCCATGCGGGAGCTGTTCTGCGTCTGCACTGTCCAGACGCTGGCGGCCAGCTCCATGTGGCTGGTAAGCACTTGAGACGTACTGAGCGCAACTGTGGAACTCGAGTTTTAATTCCACTTCAAGTTAACCAGCCGCATGTGGCCAGAAGCTGCCCTATTGGGCAGTGTAGCTCTGGGAGCAGGAAGAGGAGAACGGCCCGGCCCCCGGGGAGGAAGTGTTTTCCTCCCGGCCTGAACTTCTCTTCCGACCTGGCCTCCCTGTGAGGCAGATCCCTTGCCCTGTTCTGGGGCGAAATAATGTCAAGAGCCGACCCAGTCAGCAGCCCCCGGACAGAGCCTCTGTCGCTCAAGGCTTCTGGTCAGAAACCTGCACACACGCCTCCTGGGTCTCTTTCCCTGCCTGGCTTGGTCACTGCACCCGATTATCTTCCTAAACAGAAGCCTGAGGCCCTGGGAGGGGTTGTGGCCACTCAGGTCACTTAGTGAGGCAGCATAGAGCCTGGTGTCCTGCCCCCCAGCCACCTGATCCTGGTTTGTGCTTTGGCAGCCTTCAGGCCTGAGGAGGCAAAGGGGTCTCGGTGGTGGGGTCTTCTGATCGTCCTCTGAGGGGCAGTGTGAACACTTTTCATCCTGGGGCCTGAGTGAGGAGGGTCCCACTCGCTGGGTCACCTGGGCAAATGGCTGCCTCCCTGAACCTCAGTGTCCCCATGAGGCCCGTGTCAGTCATGACCCTGCAGCGGAGGACTGTCCGGTGGGGCGGGGGGTGCGGGGGGAGGAGGCCGTGCACAGAGTAGGTGCTCCATACCCGGGAGCCGGCATGCTCACATGCGGAGCTGGTGGAGAGGCCCAGGGCGCGGAGGGCTCTGTGTTTACGTGTTCTGAGGTCGGCCAGGCCTGGCTTTGCCTCTGGCCTCCCCCACCTTCTAAATGTACAAACCTGGGTGGGATAAACTTGCTCTCGAATCACCCCCATCGCTCAATGGGGCAACAGCACACCGTCCTGATGGGCTGCTGGAAGGACTGGAGGAGACCGTGCGCTCAGGAAATATCTGGAAAGTATAAAATGGGGCCTGATCACGGGAAGGCAGAGAAGCCCTGAGGGTCTGTCCTGAACACCTACTGTGCCAGACGGTGGTCTCGGTGCTGGGCCCAGTGGCTCCTGAGCCCCTCCCAACCCCGATTGTTTTCGAAGGACCCAGCTGTCACCTCTGCATCCCAGCCCCGGGGGACCTCGGCAGGGGTCCATCCCTACGGGTATGTTCCGTGGCCAGCATACCCAAGTTCTAGTTCCTACCATTCTGACGATGGGTTGTGGGCCCCTGGGGATTTGTCTTCTCCGTTCCAGGCCTCAGGTTCCCCACTTGTAGGAAGGCTGTTTGATTTTGAAGAGCCCACCAGCCCCTGGGTGTGACTGTGCACCAGCAGGTTCTTCTCATTTTCAGAACCGCTTCAAAGGGAGGAACTGTCTTTCCTGGAATGTGTGGCATTAGGTGAACTCCAGCCCTGGCCAACGATGCCAGAAGAACTTCCTTCTTGTTGAGTCACCCTTTGCCACCCAGTTACCATCTGGGCCCTTGGAGCATTGTTCCGCCGAGGCTCAGCCAAGCCTGTCGGTGTTTCCCATCATCCCGGGGATGTGTTCACGGCAGAGCGCTCCCTCCTGCCTCGGAGACCCATGAGGGGTGCAGCCTGCAGGGAGAGGGCGGAGGAGGGCAGAGGTCCTGTGTGTTGCCCTTGGGCTGCAAGGTGGGGCTAGTCTAGGATGCTCAGTCAGGCCTCCAGTGCCAAGCTCGGCCTCAGATAGATGCTTTCACCACCCCGCCCCCCACCAAGACCCCAGACTTTGGCTGGCTTGCTTGTTATTCTTTGATGATAAGATCTGGGGAATTTCCAGAATGTGCTAATAGACAGGAAACCAGGCCTAGGACAGAGAGCCATCCCCACCCTTGCCTCCTTGCGCTGCGTCTCTCCCTTCCCTCCTGCCCCAAACGGCCCCCCCCTCCCCTCACCCCTCCAGGTGGGTCACTGGGAGTGCCGCCACTGTGCCTCTGTGGCCACGCTCAGGGCACTTTCTAGAACAGGGCTAGTCATCTAAGGAACGCCTGAGACTGGCTGTACATGTTTTCCTCTCTCAGCCAAGGCCATGATCCTTCCATGGACCAAGGTTCTCAAAGGTTCGGCCCCACCCTGGCTTCAGCCTTCTGGAAAAGTCAACAGTTGGGGCCACATCCTCTAAGCTCCTGGAGGGCAGTGTTGTCCTTTCCCATGTAGCTGGCCAGTTTCCACTCGGTTCCACCAGGCCCTGACCAGGGGATTTTCACTCCTTTCTGTCTTTTTTGGCGGAAGGTTGGGTTTTCTCCCCGCACGTCGTCTGCCCAGAGGTTGGGGCAGATCCATCCTGGGAATGAACAGCTGGGGTGTGGGGCAGGCCAGGGCTTAGACCTTGACCTGCAGCGAGAAGGTGGCTGTCCGTCAGGCCTCCACCGTCTGTTTTTTTTTTTTTTAAAGATTTTATTTATTTATTTGACAGAGAGAGACACAGCGAGAGCAGGAACACAAGCAGGGGGAGTGGGAGAGGGAGAAGCAGGCTTCCCGCGGAGCAGGGAGCCCGATGCGGGGGCTCGATCCCAGGACCCCGGGATCATGACCTGAGCCCCGAAGGCAGATGCTTAACGACTGAGCCACCCCGGTGCCCAGGCCCCCACCATCTTTCAGACGGACCCGTGAGGAGAATCTCAGTGGCGCTTGCCGGCTCAGCACCCCTACCCCTCGCCGATCTCCTGCCTCAGCCCAGAGCCCTCGGCAGACACGAATATCTAGCTGGAACTGAACGAGCATGACTTGGCTTATATTTATTTTTGCCAGTTACCTTCTATTTATAGTAAATGAGACTGGTTTGCCGCAAATAAGGAAAAGCGTCCACAGGCAAAAAAGGTTAAAAAGTATAAGGCGAGCGGACTGAGAGCAAAACAATGAGCAAATAACGAGGTTATCCTCAGATGTGTGCAAATTCCGGCGAGTGGCTGGAGCCTGGTAGGGGAGTGAGGGGACAGATGGCAGGAAAAGAGGCAGCCACGTCTCCCATCATGGCCCGGGGTTGGCTGGGCTCCACTGAGCCCCAAGACCAGCCCTCCAGCGCTCCCATTTGAGGGGCGGTCCAAGGAGCCTTCCAGAAGGGGTTTGCCCCAGGCTCTCTGGGACTGAGTGGACGAGCGCTTCACGGCCAAGCCTGCAGATTCTCAGGCCTGTGCTCTTTGCTCTTCTTTCCTGCCCCCTGCAAGCTGACCCCTAGTGCCCTTGTGCCTCAGTTGTCAGAAAAATGGGGCTAGAAACCACACTTTGCTTCTCTGCGGTGGAAGGGGTTGGCTCTTCTCATCCCCTCTTCACTGTGTGGCTTCTGCTCTGAAGTGTCCTCTGGTCTTAGCTCCTCCCAGCAGGTGCCAGATGTCCCAGGGAACAGAAGAGAAACTGAGGGGAGAGGTCACCTTCCCAGGGTCGCACAGCCAGTCAGTGGCCGCGCTGCACCAGGCCTCCTGATCTGAGCACTCACTGGTGGAAGTATTTCTTCATCTGTAAAATGGGTACAATCCCACCAGCTTCATGTGGGGAAGTTGAGGTCCTGAGAAGTGGAGTGACTTGCCCAGCATCACCAGCTGGCTAAGGGCAAAGAGGCAAGATCAGAACCCAGGCCTGTTGGAGCTCCAACACTTCCCAGACCAGCTGTCCCGCCTCCCCTCCCAGCTCCTTCCTGGGGACCCCCGAGCCAGGGCAGATGGGGGAAAAGGCCTGGGATCTGCCTATCCGTTCACTAGCTATGTGACCTCAAGCACATTCTTTCCCCTCTCTGTGCCTCGTGGAGATGCCATGGGAGAGATGGGGGCCGTAAATCAGCTATCACGAGTGTTCTTCCCTCTCCTTTCCTGCAGAGAAGAGCATTCCACTTCGAATCCTCTATGAGAAGTACTGTGAGTGTCTGACCGAGTCAAACCTCATCAAGGTGCAGGGCCTCCTCATGGAGCCGGATGCCAACAGGTACCTGTTGGCCGAGAGGGACATCTATCTGGAGAATCCAGAAATCAAGATCCGGGTAAGGGATGGGCTGGGCAGGGTATGGGGCTGGGGGCGGGGTCCCAGGACAGCTCCCCCCACCCCACACGCACATACCAGCAGCCCTGCCACCTCCAGATCTTTGATGCCCCAGGGTTCTTCAAATCCTAACTTCATCAAAGGAAAGCAGCATGAAGCTGAAAGAATTTGGGACTCCTACCTCTAGGAATGAATCCTAGAATCCCAGAGTGGTGGTGGGGGGGGGTGTGGAAATTAGGGATCTCAGAATCATGGACCCTTGAAAGCTAAGGTGAGATCCCCAGGCCCTGGGGCCCTAGTGGGGCAGGGAGAGGCAGAGGGTTTAAGGGCACAGACTCTGCAGTCTGACTCCCTGGATTTGTGCATGGGTGGCCCTGGGCAGGTCACTTTGCCCCTCTGGACCTCGGTTTATTTGTCTGCAAGGTGGAGTTAATACTAGCACCTAGGTGTGTTGTACGAATTAAATGTGCATCCCAGGAAATGCATTATAAGGGCTCATAAGTGCTGACTATTCTTATCACCATCATCGTCGGCATCATAGTGATTCGCCTGGAGGAGCCACAGCCCCAGAATCCCAAATGCTGCAGTTACAAATAAGTGGTAAAGGGCAGAGGGGGCGGGAGCGAGCACTGCATGCCACACACTCTGCTAGGAGCTTGCGCACAGTAGCTCAATTAATCCTCAGGACAGCCCTGCAGCAAGGCATTTCTCTCCTAAGAAGAAACCAAGGCTCAGAGGGGGTAGTTACTTTCCCAAGGTCACACAGTGAGGAAGGGGTAGGGTAGAGATCAGCCTGGCCCCAAAGCCTGTGATCTTTCCATCCAGGCCCTAGAACAAGGGAGGCACTTTCTACATCCCCCGAGTCACGTGGAGCCTCACTGCAGGTCCGTGAACGTCCGTGTTTTCTAGATGAGGAAACAGGCACAGAGGTGGGGAGCGATTGTGCCAGAGCGGGGCCAAATCGCAGCAAATATAGAGATGGCCCCACCAGGCCCCTGCCTGCCCTTGAGGGTCTCTAGACTCCTCTCCCTCAGGCCCGCCCCTGACATCTGTCCCGTCTTCCAGATCCTGGGAGAGCCCAAGCAGAACCACAAGCTGGTGGCTGAGGCGTCCCTGCGGAACCCCCTCCCCACGCCCCTGTTAGGCTGCACCTTCACCATGGAGGGGGCCGGCCTGATGGAGAAGCAGAAGATCATGGACGTGTAAGTGCCGGTCACTCCAGCTGGTGGGCCTGGAAGCACAGGGCGGGTTCTGGTGGAGGGAGGGGCTGCCTGCAGGCACCAAACCCTGGCCAGTAACTCCCTCCTCTCATCTCTCACACACCCACCCACACACCTGCCTTAATACACCACGTGACCCTTCCCCAGCCCCCTTAGGCACAGTTCCCACCCTCGCATCCTCCCTGAGCACCGGTACCACTCGAGCTGCATTCTGTGCCCGTGTCCTCCCAAACCTGAACAGTTAACACATTCAGTCACTAAGCACCCGCCTCTAGGGCCTCATGTAAACACAAGCATCCACATCTGGAATGTGTGCAAGTGTACACGTGTGGGTGTGTCCTCATAGATACATATCTACATACACAAGTACAAGCATAGATCCTTTTTTTACTTTTTTATTGTATTGTAACTTACATACGGTAAATAACGCAAGTCCCGTATGTACAGCTCAGTGCATTTTCACACATGGAGTCCCCTGAGTGTTCCCACTCTTACCCCAAAGCACAGCATCCACGTCTATGCACACGCACACACACGCGGGCCCCTCTGCACATGGGAGGGCAGGTTGCCCAGGCTCTTGGAGAGCAGTGAGTGGGCCCATTTTGTTCTTGTTGCATGAAGTTGAGGCTCTGTGCTAAGTCCCCAGTAGTCACACGTCATCCTGGCCTCTCCACAGCCCGGACCCCGTGGCGGCGGGGGAGGAGGTCAAGGTGAGAGTGGATCTGCTGCCATGCCACGTGGGCCGCCATAAGCTGGTGGTGAACTTCGAGAGTGACAAGCTGAAGGCCGTGAAAGGCTTCAGGAACATCATCATTGGTCCCGCCTAAGGGCCATGTGCCCAGCCCCGCCTCAGCCAGCTAAGAGCCCCTAACTTGACCCCAATTTTTGTTCCAAGCTAATGTACCAATTACCCCCTCTTGGGCCCCAGACCTCAGAGCCTGTGGGGGTTCTTTGGAATGGAATGTATTCCTGGCTTATCTTGTGCCTCTGAGCTTGGATCCCCATCTCCCTTTAACTGTGAAGAATGTTCTGTGCTTCCCCATTAGGACCACTGCCCTTGGCTGACTGGGTCTGGGGTGGGGGAGGAGGGACCCATGCCTCCCTTTACAACCCAGATGCCACTGGAAACCGCTGACCACCCACCATATTGTTTGGTTTACTCCAGAGCCCTTTGGAACCAGCAAAGGGAGACAGTGTGCCCATTGACCAGATCCCAGGCAATACACAGGCCCCAGGAGCCCTTGGGAGAACCAGAGCAGGTGCAGGTGGAGTCCCAGGAAAGGCCAGACCCGAGGTCCCCTCACATCCCAGCAGCCCTGGCCCAACCTTCCCCACCACCACCATTGTGAGGCACCTACAATGTGCCGGGCACTTCCTGTGCTTGCTAGTGCTCACATGGCTATTGACCCATTTAAGTCACCATGGGAAATCGCAGAGTAGGAGCTGCTTTCTTGGTGAAGACACTGGGGCTTGGAGGAGGGAGAGGCAGCTTACTCTGCACCAGCAGGCTATTTGCAAGGCTGGGTAGTAGGAAGGCACTGGAACACAACCCAGGACTTCTGACTCTGAGTCCAGTTCCCCATTCATGGCACCAGCCCTGACCTGAGAATATTAAAGAGGCCATTTGGGACCTGAGCAGAAATGATACAGTTGGGGTAAGGTGGGGAGGAGGTTGGAGGGGTCAGAGCCCTGGGTTTGAGCCCCAAGTCCGATCAGCCACTGCTTTCCTCTCTCTGGGTCTCAGGTTCCTCATTGGGCAATGGAGTATTGACCCAGCTCATGAGCAAGGCCCTCTCAGCTCTGCTCTTCCAATGCTTATAAGACCCAGCCTTGCAAATGACAGGAAGTCCTCCTCCCTGGCTCCACAGAGCCTGAGGCCACAGGCCTAGATGTTTCTGAGTGTGAAACCCTGACCATGACTAAACCTTCCCACCCCCAGCCCTGTCTGGGTCCCCTGTCTGTGCCCAGGCACCTTCCTTCAGAGCACAATTTTGGGGTAGAGAGCTCCAGAGGCCCCTGTCCTACCCATGAACCTGCCCACTGCAATGCCTAGACTTCAAGACAGACTTAGCTGCCTGTGTTGGTCACTAACCAACAAAGTTAGCACCTCAGCCACCCCCTTTCTGCAGGGCTAGGGCCCAGGAACACAGCCCTCGCCCTAAGCTCCGAGAGCCCATGGGCTGTCATCTCTGACTCTATCTCCCACTCTCTCCATGTGACTGGGCTGGAAGAGGGATGAAGGAGAATGCTCTATCCGGGGTGGGGTCACAGCCTCCAGGGCCCGCAAAATCTCAGAGGGGGACTTGGAGAAAGTCATTCTGATGCACGTAGAACTTTCTGATTTGCACAGGGAAGGATCACAAAATAAGCCCACATGTATATATTCTTCCAAAGGTTGCAGTGATTCTCTATGGTTCTGTAAACGTTTTTGGATTCCAAGCAGGAAGTAGATGTGCTTTTGAGCCACAAAGCATGAGCACCAAAATAAAAGCATTTGCTTTGCACATTCAAACAAGGTCTGGTCTGGTCTGGTCCTTTTACCGCTTTTGAGGAGGGTGGGTAGGTAGGTGAACTCACCCACATTGGGACCAGCCACCTCCTCCTGCCCAAGAGTCTTTCCCCAGCCTCAGCCCCCCACCCCCCAGGTCGAAACTTGACTGGCATTCAAACTTCTACCCAGTCCAGCTCCATCTCTAGCCTCTTCCTCCAACAAATCGTATTTGGGCCACAGTAAATTTCCTGACTCCCTCAAATGCCCTGGGCACCTGTCAACCTCTTAGCTTTTGCATGGGTAGTTTCCTGAGCATGGAGTGCTCTTCCTCTTCCTTATCCATCTAGCAAACTCCTACTCATCCTATAATGCTTAACACCAAAGTCACTTCTTCTGTGAAGCCTTCCTAGATTTCTTCTCAGCAACCCCCGCCCCCCCGAGCCCTGGAACATGGACCAACTCAAACATTTATCACCATGAATTTTAGTTCCATGTTGCTGTATCTGTCCCCCTTCCCATCCTATCTGAAGTCCCCAAGAACATCCTATCTGAAGTCTGTCTCTTAAATAGACTCCAATAAATGCTGAATTGATAAACCAATGTGTTTCAGCTCAGCTCCCGTAAGACCAGGGCTGTCCAAGAGAGAGAGCTTGGGAGCCACAAATGCAAAGCTATAGTAACTTAAATTGTTCTAGTGGCCACGTTAAAAAGAGTAAAAAGAAGCAGGTAAAATATGTCTTAATAACATATTTTATCTAACCTAGTATGTGTGAAATATTATGTCAACATGTAATCAATATAAACAGTGAGATCTTTTACACTCTTTTCATACTGTGTGAAACACGGCCTTTGTTTTACACCCACAGTCCATCTCGATTCTGACTAGTCGCGTTTCAAGTTCTCCACAGCCACAGCTGGCTTCTAGACTGGGATTGTAAAAGTAGGGGAACTTGGTCATTCACCTCATTCCCCACTGACCAGCCACCAATAAATGTTTGTTGATTGAATAAATAATGGAGGACAGTCTCTGCCCTGGGGGAACTCCTGTTGAAACACACGACACGCACCTAAGAAAATAAATCAAAATGAAAACATGACATCACATTTTCTGGGTACTGAATCCTTCTGTCCCCTGAAAACTACAGCTTGTCCTGGCCTACGTGGCCTGAGCAGTTTATCAGTTAGTGACCGGCTGGAAGACAGAAACCTCTGAGCCATTTCAGGCTGAGAGGACGAGGGACATGGGTTCCAAAGGCATCCGACGTGCAGGAAGAGTAGAAGGGAGATGGAAGGTGACAAGGCAGCTGCCATCCAGGATAGTCAGGAGCCCCCAGCCGAGCCAGCACTCACCACCTGCCTGCTGGAGCCAACGGAGCCGCCCGGAATGTCTGAGGTCCGCCCAAGTGGGCCGGCCCGGCCGCAACACGAGCTGGAGGTGGGCAGGCATCTCTCCTCCTCCTGCTTTCTCCCCACTGGCAGAGCCTAACCAGAAACGAGCTGGCAAGGGGCTCTGGAAAATATCATTTTCAGGCTTCCAGCCCCCCCGAAAAACAGCTAAGTGGGGGTGGAATTGAGTAGCTGATGCCTATCGCTGTTCCCTCTGCTAAGCTTTGCCATCATCTCTACCTAAGGAACTCTTAATCAGCCTTCAAGACCCTGCTCCAAGGAGGCCTTCTCTGGGAGGCCTTCCTGGACTGCGGCCAATGGCTTCAACCTCTGGTTCTCCTGGGTCTATCATAGGTAGCATTTGCTCCACTCAGCAGCCTGGATTAGGAACAGCTGTTTGTGTGCCTGGCCGGGGCTCTGGAGCACCCCAAGAGCAGAGTCAGCGCACACACCCTGCAAGGGGGTCACCAGGTGGACTCAGGACTGCTGACTTTGCCTCCAGGCCTGACTACCTCCCCGCTAAAACGCAAGGGCAAGGCTGCTTCAGCAAAGTCGGCCGATGCGGAGCAGATTCAGGGGCCTCTCCTGACCAGCCCCCATGCCTGTCCCACCCCTGGGAGCCTACTAGCCAGGAACCCAGGAAGGAGAAAGGCCCTGCTGCTCCGATTGGCCCATTTTACAGACAAAGAAAAGGAGCCTGAGCTCCTGCTCCCAGAACCAGGGGAGGGCTGAGTCCAGGTCCCTACATTGCAGGGCTATGCCCTGCTCCAAGACGGCTCAGAGCCCTGGGCTCAAAGGCCTGGGTGCTGGAGCCAAACAGACCCAGGATCAAAGCCTGGCTCTGCCATAGATTCACAGTGTGGCTTCAGGCAGGTTTTCAACCTCTCTGTACGTCCGCTTTCTTATCCGTTGAATGGGGATGATGTGGTGTCTCCTTCCATGACCAGTATGCAGGCTCAAAACAATGACACACATAAACTAGCTGACTCTTACATGTTATAATCCTAAGAGCCAACTTCACGTCAGGAACCTTTCCACGCATTGAGCTCTTTCCTCCTCGGACAACCCTAACAGGTTGTTGCCCCCATTTTACAGATTCTATAGTCACAGAGCTGGGACTGGCACCCAGGCAGCCTGCCCTCCCCAGCACACAGCCTAGCCCAGGGGAAGTCTGATTTCCACCCGAACCCTCCCTTCCCATGGTACTCCAGGACACGTGGTGCAGCATACTCCACATAAGCTCTGTCCAGGCCTCAGTGGGGATCTGATTGGGTCCATCTCCCCACCCCTAAAAGTCCCTCTCTTCTCCAGCTGCTCTTGCTTTCCTAGGATGCCTGCCAGCTCACCCCTCAGCCTCAAGCCAAGCCTAGAATAACAGAATATTGACAGAGTCCAAAAGGGAGGGGCCTCAGGAAGAGGGCCAGGTGGCAGCCTCCTAGAAGCACATGCACCTTGGGGCCAGGACTAGGTCAGCACATACCCTGTCCTGGCTTCCCCACTTCCCTCCCACACAGGCCTGGGCAGATGCCCAGACACACACGCTCCGGAGAGTGTGAGACCTGGTGTTCTGTTTCAAGAAGAAAAGCCCAAAGAGACCCATTAAAAGCAGAGGCAGTGAAAACAATCATCATTGTTTTCAATCATTTGCATGGCCTCGAATACAGGGGAGCCATGATGACACACAACAATACAATGGATCTCACGGACCTAACGCTGACCAAAAAAAGCAAACACAAAAGACCGTGAACTACAGAACTGCCCCCATAGGAAGTTCACGAACGGGCAGAACTCGTCTGTGTTCTCCCTGGCGGGGAAGACGGGGCTGGAGTGCGACGGGGCTGGGGGGATGGGGATGGGTTTCGATTTCCTTCATCTGGGCGCTCAGTACCAGGTACATTCAGCTACGCACAATGGTGCTCTTTTTGCTTGTATGGCTTTACCGCAATAAAAGGTCAAAAGATAGAGTACTCCTAGATTCTAAAATTAAGTCCCAAAGGGGATGGAGAAAAGGGACTTGGCTTCCAGAGTTCTCTCTTCTTCTTCTTCTTCTTCTTCTTCTTCTTCT